TGTTGAGGATGTTGCCTTCACATAAGCATTTTCGTGGTAAGGACTTACGAATCACAGACCCCACTGAACTTGATATTGCAGAAAGCAAACTGATTCATCTTGCTCAGATGGAATCCTTCCCCGTTGAGTTAAAAACACTCATCGCTGGCAAACCTATTAAGAATAGTAGTAAAATTGGCGCATACTCGCCATTAATTGGTCCCGCTGGAATCATTCGTTCCACCGGACGGATTTTGCGCTTAGTGAATACCGAGTTTGATACTAAGCACCCAATAATACTTGACTCCCGACATACCCTAGTTCAATTGTTGGCCCGCAGCGTCCACCACAAGCATTTTCATCAAGGTTTAGATAACATGCGCTCCGTTTTAAATATGAAATATGCAATACTTGGGTTGCGTCGACTACTTCGGTCTATCGAAAATCAATGTGTAACATGCCGTAAACGCAAAGCAAGTACCATCCAGCCTATTATGTCCGATTTACCTGTCGAACGTCTCGGATATAAGCAACCACCCTTCAATCATACGGGTGTGGATTACTTTGGACCGCTTTATGTTCCAGTTCGCAGAAGCACTGAAAAAAGATGGGGATTTCTTTTTACTTGCCTCACCACCAGAGCTGTACACCTTGAGATTGTACCATCTCTGGACACCAGTTCTTGTGTCATGGGCATTGAACGGTTCATTGCGCGCCGTGGTACGCCAAGCACAATCTGGTCGGATAACGGCACGAACTTCGTTGGTGCGGAAAAGGAATTACTTGCCTGCATCAAGAGCTGGAATGGCATGGCTCCGACCATTTTTGCACACAAAAGTGTTACTTGGAAATTTAACCCGCCAGGCGCACCCCATCATGGCGGCTCCTGGGAACACCTCGTCCGAAGCGTGAAGCGCGTGCTGTACGATATCTTAGGCAGTAGGCGAGTCACTGAAGAGGTGTTAGGAACAACACTCTGCTTAGTTGAGCAGGCTTTGAAGTCGAGGCCAATCACTCCCGTTAGTACTGATTCACGTGAGTTAGAAGCGTTAACCCCAAACCATTTTTTGCTTGGACAACATGCCACAAGCTTTCCTTCGCTTTTACCCGGGGAGCACTTCGATCACAAGAAAAGGTACGTGCAAGCGCAGTCATATGCTAACGCGATTTGGTCTCGTTGGCTTCGAGAATATGTTCCCTCGCTGAATAAGCGTGTCAAGTAGCACACTCATTCTGACTTCACTCTTAAAACAGGCGATCTCGTGTGGGTGATTGAGCCCGATAGTCCGCGTGGGTACTACCTTCTTGCCCGAATTGTCGAGCTAAACTACGGACAGGACGGTTGCGCTCGATCCGCCCTTGTTAAGACCGCAACCCGTGAAGTCACTTGGCCGACCGTTAAGCTCGCTCCGGTTCTTCCTTCTTCAGGGGGGAGGATGTTGCAATGCAAATGTAGAGTATAGATGCATATAAAACAAAAGTATAGATGCATATAAAATAAGCACAGTTGGCCGAGTGGCCTAAGCTAACGCCGATTATATGTGTGAAATAACAGTTGACGTAGGTTCGAGTCACCCACCTGTCCATGTATTAATATACTAAAAACGGGGGTAATATCCTATTTTAACTGTTTTTTGGTTCTAGTTCGGTTCAGCCTTGATTAGGACTGACCACCAAAAAAAGTAATTTGTCTCAAGGACATTACCGACCGGTTCTTGTGGCTAGCTTGCGCCGATTTGTACTAAAAACGAACAGATGATAAAAAGTTATATGATGTTTTTGATCGATAGAGAAAGCCGAAATTTATCTATTTGCGTGAGTTATTTACCGAAAAATATCTCATACTAATTTACGGATTTGGATCAGTTTTTGGAGATTAGAGCGAGCATACTAAAATTTAGTTAACCTTGATTTTTTCAGATCTGAAAAACCAATGATTCTGACACAATTTTTGCTGTTTTTGATTTTTTGTATTTGATAGCTTCTGCTGGCTACTAACAGGTACTCAGTAAAGTCTCAAGTTGGAGACTGCCAAAATATGTTTCCCCAAGCATGAGATAAATATTAGAAACGCATAATAAGCGCATGAATAGCAAAAACTTGATAGGTCTTCTAACAGTTTTTGAAAACTTTTGAACACAGTTGAACAAGAAACTTAGATCAAAAAATACAGTTTGTACCGCTAGTTAATCTAAATATAATTGCGTATAGCAGGAATGTCAAAAAACAAAAACTCAAATTTTTGGTCGAAATGCATAAATTATAATTTCACAAAAGATTTCTCAGACTTGATTTCAGAAGTAAAAAAATTTCAGATCTTGCACAGAAAATCCCCTGGGTACGGGTATCAATACTTTCAATTTTGTCTCCCTTCACATAAATTATATAATTATATAATAAAAATAGAGACGGTAAGACTAATAAAACTTCACATTGTCTTTGTCTAAATAATTATCTTAGTTAACCTTCAAATTGTTACATCATAGTTTAAAATTGAGCACAAAGGTTTAGAGATACTCAGTTTTTTTGTTAATATCATTATGCTTGTATTGGTTTAAGTAAAACATACTTCCCGTCAATGTTTTCTTATCTTTATTTTACCGATAAACAAGATTTTTTACTAAGCCTGAAGATGACGCCAGGTGAAAACCTAACTAGGATTATTTCTCAGTTTTTCATTTCTTTGCTACAAAAGTACGTTCTTACCCGAATATGAGTGAAGATTTTATGAGGTTTTTACTTGTATGGCTTAAAATATACCTTGACTTTGAATTTTCTTTCGTTCAACATGGTGAGTTTGTGTTTTAATACAAGACCATTATTTACAATGGTTCAGAAAACAGAAAAAAAAACTAATTTTATAATGTTTAGAAATGAGTAAAAACACTGAATTTGAATCCATCTTGAACTGGGGAATAATTAGAACATCACTACAAGAATGAGAGTACAATCAGTTTTAACAAGTACCAGAAAAATTTAAGTTTGAAAAAACAAAAAATTTTTGATAGCAAGATGCGTGCCAACAAAGCGTGCTAAAAACACGGGCCAGTGGAAAATTTCTCGTTATAGACCATAGAATACCAAAGTTCGCCGCATAGATGCTAAGCAAGATGTCTAAAAACAACGAGAAACAAACCTTTTTCAATAGCAAAAACCCAAAGTGTGTAGCAAGCCTCAAGTATTCAATCAAACCAGGCTATAACAAATAGAATCCACAAGGAATCATTACACAGCCATATATGTCGAAAGCGGACAACTTTCTTTTGCCAACAACACCCCTTCTGTCCGGAAATTACTTTTCATTTCTTGGAGAAAAAAAACATTGGCGGATAAAAAGTTGCACAAAACGAATTTATTTTAGAAAATGAGATATCAGGATGAGAATACCGTTCGAAGAAATAACAGCCTTACCTCAATGTTCCGATCCCATCAACGGGAAAGTAAAAAGCCAACTGAAAAAAAACAATACAATTGAACTGGAGGAGAACTTACAGAAGATGAAGTTGAAGAACGAAAAAGATAAGAGACTCGTGAAAGATCTAGAAAAAAAATGGGAAAGGAAATTCAAGATGCTAAAATCAATGTCGAGGGGAATTTAAAGAGCGTCAAAAAATAAATAATTATCAAGCTTACGTATTAAGTTTTATACTCTTTTCTATGATATTTTGGTTCATTTTTACTTATACCACTTACAGTTTGTGTTTGAAAAATGTATGTAACTTGTGTGAAGGTGTCTGTTGATCAACCATTTTCATTTTTTTCTTCTGTGTTTTTTTTTTTAAAAACTGTTTCACTGTTAAAATAAAAACCAAAAAGATTTAATCGGACCGGATCTTAATTTGAGAAACCGTTCTCAGAAAATAGCTTATTTGAGTGTTGATAGTTCAGAAAAAAGATATTTGTTTTACGACTTATCGTAGGTACATAATTAAAACAAAAGCCTTTTAATTCAAGGTAGTATTTGCAAAACTGCAACTCACCACTTTTGTTAAAAATTTGGCTGAAAGAAAGGAAAGAAAGAAAGAATCAATGAGAAATAAATTCTTTCTTTCTTTCCTTTCTTTCAGCCAAATTTTTGACAAAGGTGGTGAGTTGCAGTCTTGCGAATACTACCTTAAATTAAAAGGCTATTGTTTTAATTATGTACCTATGATAAGTCGTAAAACAAATATTTTTTTTGTGAACTATCAACACTCAAATAAGCTATTTTCTGAGAACGGTTTTTCAAATTAAGATCCGGTCCGATTAAATCTTTTTGGTTTATAATTTAACAGTGAAACAGTTTTCAAAAAAATGAAAAAAAAAAATGAAAACTTTTGTAGCTTTCCCATGCTCAGTATTTTCGAAGTGCGCTAAAAAACATTAACTATCTTTCTAAGTGAAATTTAACAAAGTTTCAGAAGCAACTTAGAGACTTGAAGGCAGACAAAGTTTTTTTTCTGAGTTGAAAAACAGATTATTATAGCAACAAGGACCGTTTTTTTTTCAAAGTTTAACAAAATAATCTTTGAGCTGACGAATAACCCGACTCTATCATCAGTTTGCTTCGGAATTTGCCACTAAGGCACCGTTTGGAAAATCTTGCGGGAGCAAATGCGGTCGTCTCAATTTAATTTTTCTCTGCGTATATTTTTAAGTTGGACGACAAAAAATGTAATTGGAAAGGTTTTAAAAATTTTTTCTTATATGATTTTCTGGATTAATTGAACAATCTCTAACCCTCCCCCGCGTGGGGCGGGGGTGTAGAGGAAGATTGATCAATGGATACTTTGAGGCAATTTTATAGCCTATTGAAAAAGTTTGCTTATATGAAATCATGCTCCAGACTTTCCAACGAATCGTGCTCCAGGCTTTCTCAAATCTAAGAAATTCTAATGCATTGTTTCAGTTTTTAGTAGGTTGAGACTTGTTAATATCTACACCGAAGACGTCCCTTCTGGTAGGGTTATTTTTGTTTCAATAGCAGAAAAGTTAACCGCGAGCAATTTCTTTTCGTGTTGGTTATTGAAATTGTGTTTTAGTATTATGAACAAACAGCTGCACGCCAAACAAGCAGCTGCACGCCAAAAAAAGGATCCTCGAAGGTACGTTCAAATGGGTAAATTAAAAACATTAAAGCACACACAGTCTTATATAGCAGAAGTTTTGGCATGACATAAACAGCATACTCAACGGACTTCTGCGTTCTTATTGGTGATGCTCGTTTTTACCGCGCAACGTCAGAAAACCGGGTTGACTCAATTCGCCGAAACTGCTAGTGATGCAATTATATGCATACAACTTGTATATGACTACCCGCACCAAAGTTTCATGGGTAATAATCGATTATAATGGATTTTCATTGACTGAAATGTTGTCTATATAATCGATTATCATAGCATATTTAGTTCACCTAATCGATTTTTTCCATTATAATCGATAATTTTTGAAAAACTTAAATCCATTATAATCCATTATAATCAATTATAATCCATTTTTGCTTTCAATATAATGGATTTTTATTAAATTATGATGGATTAAGTTTTGTAAATAATGACTCTAATTTTTGCAACTTTCTGCAACAAAACTCGAACGAACACGTTCGTCCAGGGGCGGCCAATATGTAATAGCTTTCCAATATGTAGTAATTCTCCAAAAAGTGCTCAAAAACAGCATTTTTGACCAGTTCCTCGCGTACCCCCTCCACCCCCCCCCCCCCCCCCCGCCCCAACGTAACGGGTAACTGTAGTACGGGTAAGCGTCGGGAAGGAGGAGTTGGTGTGGGATCTATAGGCAACTTTTTGAAATTTTTCAAAAACTCAATTCAAAATAGGAATAAATGAAATTAATTGAGAGAAGAAATAACTAACTTAAGTTTAACAAAATTATGAAAAAATGAAAACAACACAGGGGCGGATTTAGGGGGGGGGGGGGAGGACGCGATTTAATTGAAAACAACCCAACAAAATGAAAACAACACAAAAAAAAAGATTTGAATGATTAGATTATAATCCATTATAATCGATTAAAATGGATTATTTTTCTTTTGATAAAATTTTTTGAAAATAATCGATTATAATCGATTATATTGGGTTTTTATTGATGAGAAAATTTTATCATTATAATCCATTTTCAATCGATTATCGATTATTTTTGTTGATTTGTAGAGACTGACAATGGAAATCCAATATAATTGAATTTTATCCATGAAACATTAGTGCGGGGATCGTCAAAAAACTGCAGCAGAGTTACTCAGCGCAACTTAAACATTAGCAACTTTTATCATTCAAGTGTTTCCGAGCTTCTGCAGTTTTTAAATCAGTGTTTAATTGTTGTTCTTTTTGATAAGTATATATTATCCCGGATGACTTTTTTGGCGATGAAACAAAGTGTTATAATATTTAAAATAAAAAAAAATCAGGGTGTTTTTGCTTAATGCAAAATACTATAGTCATAGAAATCCATACATTAAAGTAGTGATACCAAGATATTTCTCATATCTAGAAAAACTCTAGTCCCTCATACAATCGTATGACAGTTGATTGTCAAATGTCAGTGTCTCGTGTTCACTATCAATAAAACCACCCGGGTTGACCTCCATACACCAAAAATGTTTATCATTTAATTCCATACATCAAGTGTATGGAGAAAATGCTTGCCCGCATCCAAATTTAGGCGCAAGTAATCGATTATAACGGATTATAATGATGATTTTTTGACAATTATAATCGATTATAATTACCAAAACTAGGTCTTTAAGGGATTTATAATTGATTATAATCGTGATATTTTCCAACAGATTAAAATCTCTTATAATCGATTATAATTAATTATAGTTACAACTAAAAACCGTTAAAATTGTAATCTCTTATATTGCCGAAATTTTCCTATATTCGAATGATATCTTATGGGTTATTCTTTTTGTGCCAATAAGAAAAACTCTAAAAGAGAGATCTGTTGAATACTTTGCTTCATCTGAACACAAAATTTTACCACGAAACAAAAGTATCATAGAGATCCTTTCCTATGAGTGGAAAGGTTCTCGCGGTAGATGAAAAATAAATTTTCCAAATCAATCATGAAACTAAATCAATTTGCTGATGTTTTGGTGTTTAAAAACGCTTAAAATATGCATCACAAAGCAACTCTAATGGGGAAGAAATGAAAAAAAACTTATAAAATTGAATTAATTGGAAAACTTTTAAAATATTTTTCTCGTTTTTCATAGGAACCAACGCCCACAAAAAGCATCAAATATAAGCAATTTAGATAAAATTTCGAAGACAAAAATGGTCAAACAAAAGGAATTATAATTCATTATAATCGATTATAATGGATTTTTGTGCAAAACTAACGAAATAGAAATTTGATTAAAAATAATGGATTATAATCAATTATAATCGATTTGTATCGAAAAATAGACGAATAAATAATCAATTATAATCAATTTTAATGGATAATATTTAATTTTAGTTTGATTTTAAAAAGAGAGATTATAATCGATTATTAATTGATTAAAATCGATTGTTTCTCAATTTTAGTGAGACTGGTACTAAAATCGTAATATAATCGATTATTAACGCTTGAAACTGGATGCGGGTGTCATAAAATTTTCATTCATTTTCGAAAAACAAAAGAAAAAAATTAAAACATTTCTGCGGCTTTTTGAGAACAGTTGAACAGACTGGAGACAAAAAACTGATTTGAAATTTTTTTTGAAAAAAAAGCTTACCTTACAATTTCCAATAACGACACAAAAATTTTGAATATTTTTGACCGTAATTTTGAAAATTTGCCCCAAATTTTTTTATTTTGTTTTCAATCGCAAATTGAAGTTTGTACGCAAACAAAATTTTTTGCATGCAAGTTTTAAATTTTTGTGTGCATAACGTCGTCCTGGATACGATAATTTTGGCTTTTTTTTTCAATTAATTTTTTTTTCAAAAACGCCGCTGAATATTCTTATTTCTTTTGCATGACGTGTTTATGTATACCTTGATCAATGTCTGATAATTTGAAAATTCAAAAAATTTTTAAAATCATCATTGAAAAACTTAGCCAAAAATTAAAAGTTTGTTACTTTTGTTATATCATTTATGAAAGACAGCTCGAAGACAATTCAGGTCGTTTTCTATGCAATATAAGGCAAGACCGTCCAACTTTTGGTGCTTTGAGTAACCAAGGTCTTTGTCACTCGTGTTTGTTGAAAAAATAACCGAATATTTGTCAGAAAATAAAATTAGCAACAAAAAACAACTTTTTGGCTTATGGAGAAAACATCTATCATACAATTTATACAATTTCCATTTATGGGAAAATGTTTATTATAGAGTTTTTATACAATTTTCTGTACGTATGGAATTGTATGGAATTGCATGAAAATAAATTTCTTATTTATGAGAATTGTATGACAAGCATTTTTTGGTCAACCCGGGCACCTACACATCAGTGTCGAATAAAACTGGTCTTGAAATGTTTAATGTTCAGGAAAAGATATAGCAAGCTACTGCTAGTATTGCTAACTGATCTGATGATATCTGCAGTAGCAGATTTATGGGGGGGGGGGGGCGCCCCCTCCCTCTTACGGATTTGACCCCCCACCGACCCAAAGGGCCCCCCTTTGTGCTATTTTGAGATATCCTTTTATGGCTAACTGACCTTAAAATGTTTCTTAAGGCGCCCTCGGCATCAATCTATACTAATTTTGAGGGGGGAGCGCGCGCCAAAAAACGCGATTTTTTGCTCGACATTTTTTAAAAAGCGCCTTAAAACGCAATTTTTTGGCCTTTTTTCACTTTTTTCAAAACTTTGCCTGCAGCGCAGAAAATATGGTCAAATTAGCTTCTTTATAAGGATTTGGGAGAGCTCAGAAAATCTATATTGTCAACCTAAAAAAAGTCGACAAAACTTATAAAATTGAAAATTCGCCCCCCCCCCCCCCCCCCCCGCCTCCTGGAGAAATTCCTTGATCCGCGCTGGTTATTTGTCTCGTTGATTCATTTCTGAAGTTTTTCTTAAAATGCTCTAAGCTCGATGAATTAAATCAAAAACCAAGACAAAAGTTTTTGCATTCTTTTAACCCAAACTTCAAGTGTTGACATGATTCAATTTGTATTTGATCGAAGCCAAAAAGATTAACCAGTTTTAGAGAAAAAGCAAGGACTAACACCTTTTTGTCGAACAGTTTTAACTAAAGAGCCACAAAAGCGCAGTTCAGAAACCTATTTTATTTGTATCGAACAGTTTGAAAAAATCGGAGGAAGTTTGTATTAGGGTGTGTTTTAGTTTTTATTTTATCTTGTCTTTCACGCAAAATCAGTAACCAGAAGTAATCATTGGAATTGATCGAGTGATATATCATATTAAAAGTCTTTCAGTCGTGATTTAAAGGAAATTGAAAATGTCCTAAAAATTTTCACGGTGTCGAGAAAAACCATAGTACTGTTTTGATTTTGGTCTAGTTTCGTGCTTGATTTAAGGCGCAAAAACATAATTTTAGTCGATTGAAATTTGAAATGAAAAATATCACAATTTCAAAAGAATTTGGCAAAAAAAGCAATGATGACTCTTCAATGATTTTTTTCGTTTTTCTAGTCACTTTGCTTCAGAAACTGTAGTACAATTTACCTATTTTACTATATTTTACTATTGCTGTCGAATATGTCCAAGTTTTACTTGCTCGTTCAGAAGGTATATCGCAAAAAATGATACTTATTTGAAAACTTCTTTTTTGTATTTTCAAAAACCATGATCGGAACATTCTGTGCAATTTGGACAGTTACCGACTTAATTTGCTGATGCTTGACTTGGGTCGCTTACAAAAACTTAATCATGCTTAATATTAACTTTACTCCACTAAACTCAAGAAAATATAGCAAACGTTTTTTAAAAAAAAGAATATGTTTATGATTTTTTCTATAATTATTTTTTGTATTTCTAGTCATTTTATTCGTTTTTAAGCCTAATATTGTAAATGTAGTTGATATTTACAATTTATATAATGTCTGTCTCAGTTTAGGTTTTTTGAAAGTTTCATCAAGTCTCTATAATTAAAGTCAAAAAAATGTTTCCTTAAAGTTTTTGCATCATTCAATTTTACGTGTAAATGTAGTTGTTGCAAAAATATTCTGTAAAATTTGCCTAACAGTTTGGCGTTCAGAATTCATTTTCATTTTTTCGTGCATAGTTCCGGGTAAAACTAGGATAGTTCTATACCGATAAAAACTAATCATAATCAAATTAATAACTGGTTTTCATATCGGAGATGTTTCAAAAGTTTATTGTCCATTTGATTAAGTCAGATATGCAAGGACATCGAAAGTTTTAATAGGCCTAGTCAAGTGATGCTTTAATTAAGCAGTACAGTTTCTAAAAAGTACTATGAAATTTCTTCTGTAAGGTAATAGAAGTTGTTCTAACTCTAAAACCTCAGTTTTAGAAGAAAAGATCAATCATTTCTTTGTTATTTGTGATGTAGAAATCTCAAAAGATATGCGAAAAAAAAAGTTTTTTTTTCTTACTAATTTTAAGATTGCTGACTGTATCAGCTAATCTTAAAAAAAATAGAAAAAAATGAGTACATTTTTAAATCGTAGACCTATTTTTTTAGGACTTTTACCAGAGGATTTTTTTGTTGGTTTGATTTTTTTAAACTCTTTAAAAATCCAAATCAAAGTCTCGGAACTTGAGTTCTTGTGAGTTTCAATATTCAATTCTTCATTTAAAACTTAAATAATTGTTTCAAACAGCTCCTGTTTTTGCAATTCTTTAACTGGGAACATCTTGTCGGTTTCTTAAAATTCTGTTACAGACTGCTATGTCCGTTATCTTAAAAGGATTCTAAGAATTTGTTTTGTTTCTTTTTAAGTGTTGTAGTGATGTTTTATTAGCTGCGTCGTACACTTTTAGAATGGGTTGAATGTGACTAGAAAAAGGTTTCAATTAGTTGTGCTGTTGTTAGTACGTCAGGTAATCAAATGAGCAAGCCATTAAAAAAATCACAATATGAAAAATTTTTGTGACGAGAAAACAATATGAAAAATTGAAATCTAGTTTTGCGTCGTTGTGATAGCCCATTAGTATACAGGCCTTTTTAGTATCATCTGTTTCTTTTTTTATACTGTCTGCGCCTATGATTATTTTTATAAAATTTTTTGTTTATTGTTTTGTCAAGGTTCAGAGTTGTTGTATTTGCTTTCTTGTTGTATCATCAGCGTATAAGTATGTCTTCACTGAGCTTGCAATCGTTGGTAAATCATTTGTCTTTAAAATGAGCAGTAGTGGCCCGAGGGCTGAATCCCGTGGAACTACACCTTGACTAGTTTTCAATTTTGATATTTCAGAGCCTATTTTGACTACTTGTGATCTGTTTGTCACATGTGATTTCAACAATGCCAGCATGGGACCTCGTAGTCCCCAGTTTTCAGCTTTTTGTAGAAACATTATCAAACATTTTTTTTGATGTCAATAAAAACGCATGTGTCTTATTGGGATTCAATTCCGAATCATTTCGGATATCTTCAACGAAGTTCACCAAAGCATTTGTTAATGACGATTTAGGTTTAAACTGAATTGGTTTTAGTCAAAATCTTATTAAGCATCTAAGAAATCATTTTTATATTGATGAGTAGTTTTGAAAAATTTCTGCTGAAAACTGGTAAAGAAGATATTAGCGGCCTAAAATTATGTGGATTTTTCTCTGTTCCACTTTGATGAGATTGTATTTTTATGGCTAATTTACGACAGTCTGTCTTGGAAAACGTTTTGTTCTAAACATTTGCTTAATAGTTTTGTCAGAGTAGTAATTATTGCCATTTATACTCATACAGACTAACAAAGATATTTGTAAATGATGCGTTTTAGGTGAATTGTTTTCCACAAAAGCTGCAAAACTAATGTGTTCAGTCAAACAACTTGTCGAGGAGCTAATTAAACGCTATCATCAACGCAGTCTACTTCAAATTTAAAAGAAAAGTTATCGATAAAAGGATGATAAGACAACAACAAATGCAAGGCTAAAATGAAAAAAAAAACCTTGTAGTGGAAAAACCAAAAAAACTACTTTGACTGCAAAAATACTGTGATACTGTGCAAAATTGCTGAAAAATACTGAAAAAAAATTAATAGAAGTTTTTTTTTCGTTTCAAAAAAAAATAGCAGAAGTTTTATTCAAGTTTCAAAAAAAAGTAACTAAAGGCAAAACTATTGTTAAATAAATCATTTTTGTTGGTGAGGTTTTGATAGAGTTCACTACCCTGCGAGAATCCATTCAAATTTATTCAAATCAATTTTTGAACACAACAGTCAATTTTTTTACCTTAAAAATCCGTCTAAATCCACTAATCGATATCAAGTTGAATATCTAAATTGCTTCCGTTGAGTAATTTTTGCAAAGTATATCTCCACAAAAACTGCTTAAATCGATTTAAATCCCAAGTTTGTCAGTGCGAGATTTTAAAATACTTTTTGACTACCTTCTGATTTTTTACGGGGCTTGCCTAGACTAACTCCCTAAATTTGAACCCAAATAATTTGTCAAGTCCAGCTAATTTTTTTAGAAAAACTTCAAGGCAGCTGTGAACAAATGCTGTAGCAAAAGCTATTCTATCTTGGAGAGAGTAGAAAACAATAAGGAACATGTCAAACAGTACCGATTTCTGAAAACTCGAGAAGAAATTCATAACTTATTCAATGGTGCCTCAATTTATTATGATGAAACTAGTATTGAGGCAATGACGTCCAGCAGTGGCAATGTGGAGTCGCAGGTCTTTCAAAACAACGATAGCGCTCAAGATATGGCCATGGAAGTTCAAAGAGGTCAACAGGTTTCGGTTACCAACGGTGTCTTACATCCAAGAATAGGTATGTCGTTTCCTCCACACCCAGTGCATCTCACTAGCACTCAAAATGTTTCCCATGATTCCAATTACGAGATGCCCGCTCAGCTGCCGCATCAAAACTTGCAACATGTCTCAAATGGAGCAAATGAATTACCCATAATTTCTGGTACAATGCTGGGCGACAACAATTTTGACGCTACCTATGGTCCGAACAATTCAAGCGCTAACACGATTCCAGATAACGTTAACTTGGGTCCGAATGGTTCAAGCGTTTACGCGATTCCAAATAACTCAAACATGATTACGGGTGCAACTGGTTCGAACGTGACTTTTGATTCACATACGATGGGAATCAATTCAACTAATACCATGCATTACACGAGAGAATGGATTAACTCAACTTCTGAAGGGCATGGTCATTTGAATATTATTGCAGAGCAATCAAGAGCAGATGAAGATTTTACTGGCGAAACTTGGAATGACCTTTTACGCTCCAATCTTAAACAACAATACCAACAAAGAAAACTTCACGAGAACGCAAATTTGCTTTTACGTTTCAATCAGGAGAAATCATTATTGATAACGTTTCATGGACGACCGGGTAGAATAGACCAAACACCTATGCTCACTGAACAAATTGATGGAACAGAGTTTGGAGGATTTCGCATTCTGCCTTGGTGTGACTCAAGAAACCTGCCAATAAAAACAAGCAATACTCAACAGTTTGGACCAACCACAGGTAACCAACATCGGTTCTTTCTTTTTGAAAATGTTTTTTTTTGCAAATTGTATATTCTGTTTTTTTTTTAAACCGATGGGGTTCAACCAGACAGTTTAAGCAATAAAAATTAAAAATTGTAATCATCTTCTATTAAACAAAATCAGAAATTTTTTGTTGTTGATTTCTTGTCTAAAATTACATCAGACTGATAGATTTCAAAGAATATTCGTAAAACAATTTTCTTAATAACACGTCAATTGCAGAAAACGTACAGTTGAAGCAAGTACTCCCCTAATTCAACTTCAATGGTTTGAGTTAGATACGCTTGCAATTAGTAAGCGTTTTCAAATCAAAATATATATATTTTTCGGATTAAAAACTAGTTTAATAAATTCACTGAATCATTTGGGCAAGATTCCATTATGCAG